ACAGCCAGTGCTGCCTGGCCTAATATCTGTCTGTCAGCATTAATGTGACAAACTTCTGAAAGAAAAGTTGTAAGGAAACTGTCAAGCTATATTATAGCCAGCCCAATCTGGTTGTGCTCTGTCTTTAAAAAGAGTGAAAATATCAGACTCATTCCTCAAACTGTCATGACTATGAAACCCTCAGGGACAAAGTGCTTAGCTGCTTAGAGAAGAAATAATGCCTTTAAGAAATGTGTCTAACATAGAGCAACTGCATTTGTGTTCCCCTTCATCAAACCTTAATCTGATGTTATTTTTAATAACATAATTATCCAATATTCTTACAGAACTGAATTAAGGACAGCACTGAGCTTCAGTATCTGAAAGAAAATTCAACCTTGACCACAAGTCTGTAAGGAAATTACCTTCTTTTCAAGACAAACTCTAAAAGAGCTTAACTGAGATGCCTGGCAGCCTTCACTGAAGAGAAGCACAGGTTCAAGTCAGCTCATGGATTTTATTGGTTTCAGGTGAGACAGATAGCTATGCTCCAAACCAGACTTACAGAAACAATATGATTTTTTTATTGGTTTCAGGTGAGACAGATAGCTATCCTCCAAACCAGAGTTACAGAAACAACATAACACTGATACACAGAGAACATTCATAGACTAGCACCTAGTCTGTCCCCAAAGTGCTTTGCTCAACTGAATTTCCTATCAAACCAAGCTTCAAATGATCCTCTTGTATACTTTTTTATGTACCTTTAACATTAAGGTTGTACAATCTATCAAAAAATAGGCTAGGAATTTTATGACAAAGCCTAAGTGAGTCACACACTGAATACTCACTAAATTCCGCATATATACCTATTGAAGAGCTTTTGATTTTTTTACCTAAGCTATTGCAATTTGGGTAGTAATAAAACATTCCACATCACAGAACAGTACAGTGACAAGCACCAGAAGCAGCAATATCTTATATGTACATAGCATCTTCTGTCAGAAAGCGAAAGGGCTTTAAGGATAGATGGTAAGTAAAATGATATGCAGTATCTGAAATTTAGTTCTATTACCCACAGCTTAGTAAATGAGAAAACAAGGTACAGGTAACTCAAACTGTGTACTAAACATAACACGCTAAGCCAACAGCAGAAACAGCACTGAATATAGATTCCAAGGGCTTCTTTCCCTGGTGTTTGTAAAAAAAAGTATGCTTTAATTTAAAATTAAAAGTCGATCTTAGTCTGTATTACTCTGTTCAGTCACTGCCTCCCACTGTTCTTAAATATACCTGTGAACTTAGAACTGTTAAGCCAGAATAATATTAAGGCAGTTTATCAGGATTAATACTATCATCACGCTTCAAAAGGAAAATAAGGGAAAAGGAAAGCATAAAACGAGAAAATACAAAAAGTTCTGCTCCTTTATTCTTCTTATGTTTGGTTCAAATAACTGTCACCAATTTCAGTGCACACAACTCTATAAATGAATGCGGTTATGCCAAATCTTGATGGGAGTTCAAACAGACTTGACATAGCCCAATTAAGTTTTAACAGGACGGTAATTTTTAGTTCAAGACAGTTTAGAAACAGAGTAAAACTCATGAGTAAAAAGCTTGTTCTTTTCTATAAGAGCTGAGGACAGCAAAACAAAGTCTCTGTGATCGTTAGTAAGACTACATACTTTGCCACTGAGTTTACAACATATATTCATAGAATCAGCTAGCCTGTAGAACAGCTTTAAAATCATCAAGTTCAACCATTACCGCAGCACTGCAAGGCCACCCCTAACGGATGTCACTGAGGGCCTTGTCTACATGGTGTTTGAACACTTCAAGGGACAGTGATTCCACCACTGCCCCGGGCAGCCTGTTCCGATGCCTGACCACCCTTTGGGGAAGAAAGTATTTCTAATCTCCAGTCTAAACCTCCCCTGGCATAGCTTGAGGCCGTTTCCTCTTGTCCTGTCACTTGGGAGAAGAGACCAACCCCACCCCACTACAACCTCCTTTCAGGTAGTTGTAGGGAGCCATAAGGTCCCCTCTGAGACTTCTCTTCTCCAGACTAAACCCCCCAGGTCCCTCAGCTTTTCCTCATCCCACTTGTGCTAGAGCCCCTTCACCAGCACCACTGCTGAACTTTGGACGTGCTCCAACATCTCACATCTTGTGCATAGCTTAAACAAGTGTTTCTAATAGTATCTAATTTGGGTTTGGGTTTTTTTAATCATGACAAACATCAGTGACAACCTGTATAAGATAACTCGGAGATAGAAAAAAGAAAATAAATAAATCATTGCATGTTCCAAATGTCTGAAGGAGTTCCTGTACTTCAGCTACAATTCCGTTTAAGTGTTCTGACCAGCTTCATTCTGTTCGCCCCTAAAGAGCACAGCAATGTATAAAGAGCCTTTAATTTCTCAGAGGAAAGGCATCAGAAAAGCACAGTTTTCAACAATAAAAATCCTCATTTTAACTTCTTCTATTTTGGTTTCAGTTTTTACTGAACCTATTACATCAGTATTAATGAAAATTATATTCATCTGACTTCTCAGAAGGAAGAAAATGAGATTTTTATTTGATCCAGTACCCAAATAACTGCCCAAATCTCAGCCAGCTTCAGGCCAGAACAATATAAAGTCCAAATGCTACAGTTTTTTCTTGTCCTTTAAAGTAAGTTATAAAATTCAATCTTAGAACCTCACAGATATTTCAAGGTTATTGGACACTCTGAGGGATCAACAACTTATTCTTAGTATAGAAATGTGCTTCTTTTTTTTTAATAATACTTTAAATGCATTTTAACAGGCAAATATAATAATCAAAATCCTCCACTGCCTTTATAAGAACCTGTTTAAAATATATTTACTGTCCCTCACAAGTATATTACAGTGAAAAAAAAATAAATCAGGTCACAGTGAAGGAGTAAGAATTTTGTTTCTTGGGAAGATTTTCACAACGAGGTGCTTAAGGTAAAAGAAACTCCTAAGACTCAACACATAAGCTACATGCTAGACTGCATTTTAGAAGAAAGAAAGAACAACAGGATAACAGCTCTTCTAGAAAAATCTTTATGTTTTGTGTATGTGAGTAACTGTATGCTTAAAAGTTTATTCTGGCAGGATATTAAATCTGTTATTCCATGACCTTCACAAACCATGGTTTTAATAGAATGATCTATTTATAAGAAAAGATACTGAAAAATATCAAAAAGTACCAATTCTTGCTCTAGTACAATAGAAAGGATTTTCAGCCATTTTCAACCTCAATCCCTCAACAGTTTTTCAACAGATTTAACAAATATGCACCATAAACATCAGCCTATTGACAAAAGTTTTCCCTTCCTAGTTGCTTCCTATGGAGCTCTACAACTAATGGATCACTCTCCAGGAGTGTACAGATTCAAAGTTGGAAATGTTTCACCGAAAGTAAATTTGCAGTAACTAAACTGATTTACACAAGAATAATTTGCCAGATTTGCTGCAAGTACTGTATGTCTTCAGACAACAACTTCAGTGTGGGAAAAAGACAATATGACAACAGACTTGAAATACATTAAACCAAAAATCCTTAAAACTGTGGTACTAATGAAGAAAATAAGCAATCTGGTCTAGTGGAAGGTGTACCTGCCCATGGCAGAGGGTTGGAACCAGATGACTTTTAAGGTCCCTTCCAACCCAAAGCGTTCGATGATTCTGTGATTACTTTTTAGCAAGAGATTCAGAGCAGAACCCTTTAAAGAAGCTGTAGATTTCTTGCTTTTGAGCACCTAAAGGTTCGGGGAGGAAGCAATAAGAAAACATAAGTAACCATTTAACTTTTGCTACTCTTTTTCAGAGAACAGAAGTGCAGTAGGTGACTGCTAAGAGACCTTATAGTACTTGGGATCCCAACAGTACTTGGCATTACCATCACACTTTTGCAGTTTCATTCATAAGAAAAAACTTGTGACTGCACTATTAAGAGTTCAAAACAATTTGACTTCAAAGAATTCTCACAACAGAGTGATATGTTTCACACTTAAGATGCTTAAATACAAACAAGCTAGCAGCTTTACTTTCATTTCAATAAACGCTGTATCTCCCTTGCTTGTTAGACAAAGGAAAGGCTTACTCCGCCAGGTATCTGAAGAGACATTCCTGAGACTTGCCCTATTTTCAACTTACACTGTTGCATCCCGAATGTTTTTGGCATTAAATTATTTGAGTAGAACACGCATAGTGAAAATACGCAACCACTTAAAAGAACTTTAAGTCAAGCATAAGAATAATCTCACTACTGTGGAAAGAAACACTTTGCAAGTTTCATCCTTATGCCTACCACGGCCACCCCGGGTACAAGAAGGACTAAACAGCACCACTTCAGAGCGAAGCCAATGAAGGTGGGCTCCAATACCAATTCATGCCTTAGAAGAAAGAGCGAGTTTCACATTCAAATCCTACTTTTAAAAGAACTTACTAACGCAGTAATCACCGCATGAAAAACCACCTCACAGCTTCACCAGGCGCGGGGCGTCTTCTGCCTCACCACGCTCGACTCTCGGGCAAGAAAAGCAGGTGTTCTTACCGGGAGCACCTCCCGGTTTAACACCGCCAGAGCCCCGAGCACCTCTCACAACGGCTGGGCGCTCCCCTCACGGCTCAGACAGCACTCGGGCTGTAAGCGCTCCCAGCAGCGCGGCCGCCTGGGCTCGCACAAGCGATCACCACCGGTGTTTAGGGTGGTCGATTTGTAACAAGTAAGGCCCCGCAAGCCGGGGTTTCACAGCGCCCTCGGTCTGTGGTGGCACCGCCGGGGCGGGGCGGGCCGGGTGAAGGGAGGGAAGTGCCCGCTCCCGCCGCGGGACGCCGGCCGCACACACCGGCCATGGGGGCTTCACCTCAGAAACTCGGGAGCAGGGCTGCCCTCCCCAGCTCCTCTCCCTCACGGCACGACACCCTCCCACCGGGCTGCAGCCGGTTTTAATGGTCTCCGCGCGCGGCGGAGGGGCTGGGGGGCATAAGGAGTGCTGAGGTACTCACATGCCAGATGGCGAAGAAGATGAGTGCTGCGCAGAGAACCAGCGACAACATGTAGCAGAAAGCGGCGAAGGTGAAGGCCATGGCGGGGAGAGCCCTCCGTGTTCCCCGCCGCCCAGGGAGTCCCGGCGGGCGACCGGGAGAACAGTGACCCGCGAAATCCCGACGGAGAAAGCAGCCAAGCCAGCGGGCGCCCTCGTGGAGGAGGGGACTGCCTCACACACCCGGACCCGGTGGGGAGCGCCGCGCCCCCTCACAGCCGCTCCCCTCGCCACACCGACAGCCCGTGAGGTGCGGTGCTCCGCTCTGCTTTCCCCGCTGAGGTAAGGCGGTGGGCGGACCCCGCCGCCAGGGAGACCCCGAAGGGCGGGCCCACTCAGCGGGGCGGGAGTGGGGGGGGCTCGGACTGGAATCCTGTCACGACAGCGTGAGGAGGAGCGTGGGGTGGTGTGGGTTTAGGCCAAATCCCAAGGAGATAATTTCATGCCTAAACTTCAAGTGTTTGGGTTTTTTAAATTCTTATTTTTCTTTTTAGGATCAGATAAATGTTCTCCTTACAAGAGAGATAATTGAGTTGCTGGAGCAGGCAACAAAGGGCGACACAGCTGGTTCAGGGTCTGGAGCACAAATGTGATGAGGAACCGCTGAGGGATCTGGGGGGGTTTAATGTGGAGAACACTCAGGACCTTATCTCTCCCTACAACTACCTGACAGGAGGTTGTAGTGAGGCAGGGGTCAGTCTCTTCTCCCAAGTAACAAAGGATGGGACAAGAGGAAATGGTCTCAAACTGCACCAGAGGAGGTGTAGACTGGAGATTAGGAAAAATTTCTTCCCCAGAGGGTGCTCAGGCATTGGAACAGGCTGCCCGGGTCAGTGGTGGAGTCACCATCCCTTGAAGTGTTCACAACCCGTGTAGACAAGGCCCTTGGTGATATGGTTTAGTGGTGGCCTTGGCAGTGCTGGGGAAACAGTCGGACTTGATGACCTTAAAGGTGTTCTACAGCCTAGCTGATTCTGTTTTAAACTCAAGGGCAGAATATATGGTCTTACTAACAGAGACTTTTTTTGCTGTTCTTGGCTATTTTCTTCTCTATCAGTTTTTTATTAATCAGTTTTACTCCATTCCTAAACTATCTTGAACTAAGATTTAGCTTCCTGTTACCATTTAACTGAGCTGTGTCAAGTCTGAACTCCCATCAAGATCTGACATACCCAGCTCCAGTGAGTTGTATCTGGAATGAAGCTGACTGACATTGACATTGAGAGCTGACCAGACAAATAAGTTGTGGTTTATTTGTCATAATTTAAAATGTGACACACCTGTGTGCAATCCCACCACCTTGTCATTGTCTTCAAATACACTGGCTTTGGGCACTCTGAGCCCTTCCCTTTTGTAATATTTTAAAATGAAATTACCTGCTTTAAGGTTTGTTAGTTTGAGGAAAGATCTAAGAGAAGAGTTTTTCAAAGTGTTCCTTTTATAATACCTCAATAAACCAGTTCATAAACACCGAGAACATCCCCGTTATAAAACAGAATTTCTTTGATGGGCCATCTCTTTTTGAACTCATACCAGCGTACCAAATATGTGCAACTATGTATAGCCAGTAGTACTTAAGAACTGCCAGAAAACTCCCATTTTAATATATTCTGAACACCATGGATGAGAGCTATCCATTTGAAGTTTCCTTACAAAACTTGAAAAGAATTTCAGTTCACAACATTTTTTCTAGCTTTTATGCACAGAAGGGCATTCAGTAACAAAACTATGTCGAAATTTTCTAGGGGTCACCTGTGAAAAGTCAAACTTCATGGTACAAGAGATGGTAATTTCACCAAAGCCAAGTTCAGTACAAGCTTCCTATTTAGATGTTTTCAACCTATTTGTGTTTGAAATTATGGTTCTTATTTTGAACATAATACGCACTTTTATCCTCAGGAAAGAGTGCTGACTGAATCAAGAGTCAAGGCCAGTCATTAACAAACAGGAAGAAACTGATGGATGTAACCTTTTATAATTGCGCTGCTCCAGACTATACATGTGATTTGATGCTTTAATTAAGGACGAACACGGCAAATAGTAACGAACTTTGCTTAATGCAGTGAAGGCATTCTAATTCTCTGACCTTTTAATTCTTTTGTATCTGAAATCCTGCAGAGCCTCTGCTTATGAAAGTAAATGGTTTATTCATAACCACACATTTTGAAAAGAGCTGCAAATTAGGTACAGAAGAAGTCTTTGGAATTCTTTTTTTATTATTGTATTTTTTGCCATGGTTACTTTAATATCTGGATATACCTGTGTTAAAATTGAAATACTGACACTTGCAAGAAAACCAAAACAAAACATTTATTTCTGGAGCACTTGTATGTAGATACACACATATACATGCATGTCTATAAAAGTAGAGATATACTGTAGGTATTATAAAAGACAAAGTGAAACCAACTATTAAACTCAGTTTAGGACTACACTCCAAGGCAACTTTCTCCTGGTTTTTACTGTCTCTTGTCTTAATTCACACTCCAGCTATGTATTTAGAGAACTGCTATTTTATTTAACACTTCTTCTCCCCAAACAAACAAAATTGCATCCACACGTTTGATACACACCTGGGGTTCTTTTCTATTACTGGAAATAACAGGTGCAGGGGTTCTGCAGCCCTCCAGTGCTCAACAGCTCATTTTAGCAGCCACAGCCTCAGATTTAGTACCTCATATTTTGTTCTTCTGTCTTCAGTATTTCACAAATTCTCGTGCTTCCTCCAGGTGATATATTCCCAAGCCATTTCCAGAAGGGACTGATGCTCTCACCCTGCGGCATACACCTGTAACCCAGGACTGCAGCATCAAAAAATACTCAGAAAGCTGATGCAAGGAGATGAATTTCAGATCAAATAGAAAGTCTGTAAGAAATGAAAAATAAAGTCATGTTCAGATTGTAAAAAAAACAAAAAAAAAAAAAAAAAAAAAGAAAAAGGTTTGTATTATCTCCTTTCATCTTTAACCAGAGGCTATTTCTTCTAAATGTATTTGCTGATGAGTCACAAAAGGTACTTCAAACTTCACAACAGTTCCTAGCAAAGTTTTTATTTGAACTGGTTTTGTAGGCTGTAATCCCACAATACACACAAACAGATCATGACAGTGTGTTTTAAAACTTCTGTAGAAAGAGTTTTTTACAAAAAAAAGAAGTGTCCTTGCTGTATTTGAGCAGATTGAATTTTGGAATGCTACACTTCCCACTGAAGCATGTTTTGTTGTGTTCGTAAACAGAAGGTATTTGTCTTTACCATGCACGTTTACTGGAAAATATGATTGCAGGCTCCTGAAGGAATTAGAGAATCAAGCAGGCTTTTTTTTGCAATACAGTCTGATCCCAGTTTCATAAAGAGGCATCACAAGAGGGGTGGTGCTACTTCTGTACAACTGCTACTGAGATGCTGATTTTCAAAGTTATCACTCTGCAAATACTATCACAGGTCAAGGCACAGACAGAGATGATTTGGAAATTTTTACTTAAGGATGGCTTTTTACTTTGTGAGAACCTCTATGAAGAGACCATAAAATTTCAATCACTAGATAAATAATAACAAAGGAGTACATCTGGTGAGCAACAGACTGCTCTCCAAATGATGTCCAATGTTCCTACATATGTGGTAAAAATAGATTTAGTTAGGTTTATGAGTTCAGGATGTCCTTACATTAGCAGATCTTGGAGCACTTGATTTCATATGAAATGACCTTTTGTGCTAGATAATGAAAAAATCTGAAGTTACTGAAAGAAATTTCCTGTGGTTAATTTATAGAACAGCATCAGAGATGAGCAGACACTGCTAACAAGCCCTTTCAACTTCCCAGTAAATTCCACAACTGTATAAACCTAAAGGACAAGCCTTTATTACACCATCAGTCCCTGAAGTGAGAGGTTAAAATGACCATAAATCCACCAACAAGGTGGTATGCCCTCAGCCAAGGTTGTTCACAGTTTTAAGATTCACATGTTATTGTGACCATGTATAGTTTGCAGTGTAACATATTACTGAGTGATGTTAGAGTAAAAGCCATTTTATTAATGACAGTAGTTAATTGTCATTCATTAGATTGAGAATATTTTAATTTAATTTAATAATATCTATCTCTTTTGTGAACCTTAAGTAATTTTAAATTATTAACAACTCTTATATGCAAATTGCTGTCATTGGGCTTTACAGCTAATATCCCACAGAGATTGATAGAAGCATTTCATACTCTTATGCATTATTATTTCAGATTATCTACAGATTCCAAATGAAACAACTGTATTACTTCATGGTCAGTTCATTTTCAAAAGGTTACCTTTGCATTAATAAAGGCGAGTGACATTTTGTTAATGAAGTCTTATTTTCAGACACTGGGAATATGATAGTTCACAAACCCACTGATAATAATCTCATTTTACTGCCAGGTAAATAAATACATCATTTCACCAGCTGTGAGCAAAGATACTGTGCCCACCTTCTTTTTTTAGGAACTGTTTGAATGAATTTTAACTATATTATCATGGGAAAGTTTATGTTGGAAGGGACCTCAGGAGGTGTCTAGTCCACCCTTCTACTCAAAGCATGGCCAGGTGCAAGGTCAGATTAGTTTCTCAGGGCTTCATCTGGTCAAATCTTGAAAATCTCCAAGGACAGATGGCCAAATCTCTCTTCGGGTAACCTATTCCACTGGCAGTCTCAGGTTGTTTTCAGCAGACTTGTCAGTTCCCAGCCGGTATCATTACCAGGGCTTACTCATTCCCTAGTACATGACTTTACATTGGTCCTTGTTTGATTTCCTAAGGTCCCTGTCAGACTATGAGCTCCATGCTTAATCACTGAAATCCACTTAGAAAAGCATAGGTTACTATGCAATGTTCCTAAAATGTTCCCAATATATTAGGAAATATTCTTAATTAGAAATGTTTCTAATTAGAAATGTTCCTAAATAGCAAAATAAGATTGTTCAGAGCATGAAGTATATGCTATACTGCTTTGCTTCTCCTATTCACTTGCCGGCCAATATCAGAATTACACTCATGCTTATAATGGCCACTGGCAAAATTGAAGCTTCAGATCTGAACTTAAGTCACTCACCTGAACTAGCTGATCTCACTCCTCCCACTTCCTCATCTCCTCCAAATTCAGCTGTTCTCTCCTGGGAATTCATTGAGATTGCTTTCTCACCAGTGATGAACTATCTAACAGGATACGAAGCACTCCAGAAAGACAGGATCTCTGCTCTTGGTTCCAAGATAGAGTAGCAAAAGCAAGTGAAAATAGCAGTGGCCCGGGAGGGCCTGCTTTAAAGCACAACCAGTGAAACTGAATGGGGAATGAATTCACTTAATTTCAACAGATCTCTAATAACTATGTGTGAATTTTTCAGAAGGATTAGAATTAGCCAATGACCATAATTATTCATGGCAACAGCAGAAGTCATATTCATCTTACTTCCAGGTGTGAAGTCCTCTCACTGGCAACATCTCTTAATTGCCTTTGACATTACCTGTTTTGCTTCAAATCAATACCTGGAAACTTCACACAAGTAATTCTTGCTAAGATTGCTAAGAAGGAATTTAATTTGGGTCTGTGGTGGGGGAGAGTGGGCTCAAACTTTACCAATTCTGAATAACTGAATTCCATAAAGGAATGAAAATGAAACAAACTTTCTGAATAAGTAACCTATGAGAAAGCCTTCATCAGTCACTGAAGATCTTGCAGAGGTAGCTATGATAGTAAGACAATTTGCATAAGACATGCATTTGTCCAAACACTGAATAACATTTGGGGGCCAAATTCTTCTGATCTAATGGTGTTTGATTTTTAACCTCCCTAGAGCCTGAAATATTCTGGTCATCTACAAGCCCTACTGGTTGCTCACGCACATTGCAGGCTGTATCAGATCACACCTCATAGCTCTATCATTCCGAGCACAGAAGCCAGAACAAAGTCAAGTATGCAACACCTTTCAAAATTCTCTCATATTGAATCAGATGCTCTTCCTCTTTATACTGAGACCACTACTGAATGTTTATCCCTGCTGTCCAGCAAACAACAACCTGGAGCAGTAAACCAAGGCCTGGTGTCTTTGCTATAGTTTAGAAAAATTAGGTATTTCACCAAACCTACATCTGTGTTCTAACTGAATTAATAGTGTTAGTCATTTTTAACTTGCATGCATAAATGGTTACAATATGGTCTGCATAAATAATAGTGTTGACTAATGAAGATATAAACATTAAATTCTGGCTGTGTTTATTCAGAAAAAGAGTGTTTTCACTTTTGATGCAGTTCGTAAGAAGTGGGTACACTGGCATGCACTCCAGTGACAGTACCAATGGACTGATGCCATCAGCTTAGGACCCTTATATCCCTGCCTCCTCATTCTCTACCTCTGCTAAATTAGAATCAGGTTTTACCTCTGTTTAAAGGCCACACATTGTATTAATAGCATATCAATAACAGAAATCTGTTCTGTTATCAAATGCTGAATTGAAAGATTGTCCAAACTGATCCCCTAAGCTTCTGTGAATTTGAAACATATTCCTCTTATTGTACCAGAGAGAAAATGAAAACACCATAAATAGGGATGTTTTAAACTGAGGGAGTTAAAATAAGGATTGTAGCACCTAAAATTTCTAGTCGGTTCAGCTAAGTCCTTTATAAAAACTATTTCAGCATTTGACAACAAGAACTGAAGAATTCATATTGCAAATTGGAAAAATACCAGAAGAAAAGGTTGGAGGTGGCAATGGGGGAGTGGGAACATGTTTAGCAAAGAGTCTCATGAGAATGCTGTGATGAAAGATCATTCCTGTTCTAAATATAAACCTTCAATACATTAGCCATCCTGGTTTTAACATCATATAAAATATCTCCAGTCTGAAGCAGAACCAGCAAAGCAAAGTGATTCTCTGTGACATACCCATCTCTTCTGAAGAAAACAGGAAAGGTTTGAAAACCTGGTTGGAGGTACCAGTGTATTTTATACCACAAATATCCTAAACTCCGTTCTGTCTTCTTTTTCTTTCTGTTATCTTGAAACACCTAAATAAACTTGCCTAAACCACAAGGGTTTTGTACCTACATTAATCAGTAACGATATAGGATGCTTTTTTTTCTTAAACTGTCACTTTTATTTCTAGGACAAAAGCGGCTGAGCAGGAACGAGTGCCAGCTCTAGTCATCCATGCTCTCCAAATGGAGCTATCTTGTGTTAGTTCTTAAAGCCTTTACTTGTCACTCAGAATCCTGAAGCAGTTCAGAGGAAGATCAATGAAATGCAAGTCTCAGAGATTACTAGAGAAATGGAAGAGCTAAATGTGATCTTAACTACTCATTACCTGGGAAGAGAACAATGACTCATGTCAACTTCAGAAAGTTAAACAGCCTTTAAGAAACTATCATGACTCACAAGTACTGCGTGCACACACATAAAATCTGTTTCTCAGCTCAAGGCATTTAGTCCTCCTATAGAGAAACTAAGCTTTCTTCTCCTTGAACTTGCACCAGCCTTATATTTAATGTAATTGCCTTGACATCAGACAGCCAATTGATTTAGAGGGGTAGCTGCTACATATGAGTTACTTGCTGACTGGGTTACATGAACTATTCACCTATAAACTGATGTGAAATAGCACACAATAAGAATGAACTGTTTTTCTTTTCCTCTTTTCCCTAACAAATATTGAAAGAGTTTGCTTTAGATTGCAAGTAAAGCAAGTCTCAGAATCAAACTGACTCCTGGCAGGTTTTCTTTGTGGACATGGTTATCTAAAAGAAAAGTATTTCTTCAGCAAGTATTTAAGTGAGGAGCTATTCTGGATTCTGAAGCATTCATTTTAGCGGCAGTAATTCCACATCCATTGAAACAATTAACATAAGCAAAACTATTCAGTTAGGCAAAGCTAACCAAGCTGACAGATTCAGGCTTGAAATGGAAGGAAAGATGACATTTTACTGCTAGTACTGGCATTTCCGATTAATGTTCATGATCTGTCAGTTCCTGTTGTTACTAACATGTATAGATGCATGCTACCTTCTGAGAGGTACTTTGAACATCCAGACAACTGAAAATGGGAAAGCGTTTTTGCTGATTTGAACTGTGGAAGAGTTTTCCACTGTGATGATCTGAATGTGACCAGACAAAACACATGCTTTCAGTGGAGATCATACTGCAGGAAAAGGTAACGCACTGGACAACCTCCTGAGTATTCTTCATATATTTTCTGGCCCAGATGGAGAAGCTACTTTATGATGATTAGGGTGTGTATTTCCAAGCACTGCAACTTAGCTGCCCTGTTTCCCAGTAAGGGCACTTTAAGAACACTTTTTTGTGCTCTCCTGGCAGGAGAACACAATCTTGCTTTGAAAGTACAGTAAGCTATTTTACCTTTAACACGGAAGTGTCTCCAGCAAGAATAGTGTGAATTAATGAACTGGAAATTCACACCCAATGTGGATTCCTATTAACTCCCTTCTGTTGAAATGCCCCTTAAGAAGCGAGGTCATCATCATCATGGCTTGACTTCGCGAACGAAGATTTGGGGAGAAGCGAGGTGATTTGGAGGTGACTAGCAGGGTAATAGATGCCCAGCAAGAAAAAAAGTGTATTACAAAAGTAACAAAAGTCAGTAGGAAAATTAATTAAGATGATCTATGTCCACAGATGGCATTATTGAGTTCATTTCCACTTTGAAGAGGAGGGCCTAGTGTCTCCCAAGGAAGAAGTTAGAATTAATGTAAATGAGCTTTAGCAGCTGAATGAACAGTTTGATCAACCTACCAACTACTCATCTGAGCAACTAAGACGGCTGAGAGTGGCATGGTGTGCCCACACTGCACTGAGCCTGACACAGCAGCCAAGAGTTGTCCTCTGATGGTTCACCACACTGTCTGAAATAAGCAAATCCAATCCTTACTAGGAAAGCGTTTGTCTTGCAAAACTCAGAAGTGTATCCAGCACAATGAGATTTCCCTGCTAATCATCTCAGTGCAAGCAAAGAGGAACAAAGACATAATTACTCTTCTGCTCCAAGAAATGGTATCTCCACACTCATATCCAAAAACCACACTGGGGAGCATCTATGCTTTTATCCATTCCAAAATCCATTGGTTATTTCAGTCTGCAGGGCTGCCACGTCTGAATTAAAACCAAACACATTACATTGTTTCCAATTCTTTGATTTTATCAATATTCTTAGAATTCAGTAAAAATATGCTCATAAAACACTGACTGTTTCTCTGCGGCATCGCACTGTGTTTTCTAAGATGCAATTTAACAGTGTTCCTCAAAAGGCACAGGCAACTGCAAGTTGCTTTAAGTGGAGTATATTTACCTACATGTTTAGCAACATATTCTTGCTTTCATTTCTTAGAAACCAGAGGGAGAATTTTAAAATTAATTAAATTGATTTGCTGACTCGTGAGAAGCAAAAATAAAATTGTTGTCTCTGTTAGCTACAGAAGTGCATGAAAGCTGTCTGACATGGAATCATGGAATCATAGAATCATAGGGTTGGAAAGGACCTTAAGATCATCAAGTTCCAACCCCCCTGCCATGGGCAGGGACACCTCACACTAAACCATGTCACCCAAGGCTCTATCCAACCCAGTCTTGAACACTGCCAGGAATGGAGGATTTACCACTTCCCTGGGCAACCCAATCCAGTGCCTTACCACCCTTAAAGAACTTCTTCCTTATATCCAATCTAAACTTCCCCTGTTTAAGTTTTAACCCATTACCCCTTGTCCTATCACTACAGTCCCTGATGAAGGGTCCATCCCCAGCATCCTTATAGGCCCCTTCAGATACTGGAAGGCTGCTATGAGATCTCCACGCAGCCTTCTCTTCTCCAGGCTGAACAGCCCCAACTTTCTCAGCCTCTGTTCATATCGGAGGTGCTCCAGTCCCCTGATCATCCTCGTAGCCCTTCTCTGTACTTGTTCCAACAGTTCCATGTCCTTCTTATGTTGAGGAGACCAGAACTGCACACAATACTCCAAGTGAGGTCTCACATCTTCCAGTTTTTCCACTACACAACCGGGGTCTTCCTTAAGGAAACAACTTTCAGCTTAGAAACTTAAGTCATAGAAACATTACTTTAACTGGGCTGAAAGGCAAAGAAACATTCAGCACCAACCATGAGTTGTATAAACCCATTTTACTCAGTCTCTTTTGTCAACATCAGATGTAGATTCCAAACCCTACAATATTGGGCCTCAAATCTAAGGCGTCTGAATTTATTGTTGTATTACACTGTGAAAGTAGATCACCACGTCATCACATTCACCCTTCTGTCTATACAACTTCTTAAATGAGGTTCTGCTTCAATATACAAGTTTTATGGTACCTATATGCATTCTGAAAAAGTGCTTTTTCACAATAATAACTAATATTTTACTATCTTTGACAATAATAAACACTATAGAACATTATGAGACAGTCTGAGATATGCATGAAATTTCCTTACATGAAAACCCATTTACCTAAGGAGACAGGCACATTTGCAATGTGGTTTATAGTTTAAAAGTTGCTATAATCTCAGACTGAGAAATCCTGAAAGACAGATGAGGTTCCAGAAGACTGAGAAAGGTAAAAAAAACATCTTCAGAAAAGGGCATAGCCTGGGAATGATAAATATTGTGGCATGTTTTTTTATTCCATTATTTTTTTCTGTTAATTTAAATTAAACAAGTACCCAGAAAAGAGCAAGGAAAAAATAGCAAGGACCAGTGATGAATCAGGGTAAAACTGTATGAAATGAAAAAAAATTCTTTCCATAGCAAAGTAGCAGGTCTTGGGAAAAGGAACGAGCAACTAAAGCCATATATGCTAACTCTGTGATTTTGACATCGTTTTGTAGTGCTGTCTAATTGTTCCCGCTCTTAATATTGTGTGTAATTGTGAATAATATTGTGAATAATTAATAATTATTCCTACCTAAATGCAGTAGTTCTTCGTTTTTGTTGTTGAATTGCATAACTTTTCACACTGATTTCTTGTCATGATGATTCTCAATTTGCATCCTACCCTTTCATAGGATAGGATGCAAATATCATCACCTTTCATGAAGTGAAAGGATTCTCTGCAGTGATAACTGAATGGTATTTAATAATCCTCTCTACTATGTTATCCAAAGTATCAATGAAAATTTTGAGTAGTGCTAGAGCTGAGGTAGAATCCTACTCAATCCCATGTGCAAAATCCTTCCATTTTGACAGTGAATCGTGAATAGCAAAACCGGCTGCATTTTCACAACACAATACAGCAGTCCTCAGAAACTTAGCTGCATATTTTCCTCACAAACTGAACATGAGTCAATAGTATCAATCTAGAATGAAAACAGAAAACATTGTACTGGGATACATAAGCCAAAATGTAGCATTGAAGATGTGAAGTAATGACATTTTTGGACATTACACTTGTGAAAACTATGTGACCGCTTAGAGATAATTCAGGAGATGTTAGAAATGTCAAATACAACCTCTCAGAGAAACCCCAAAGAACTGAGTTCATTTCACCTAAAGAAAACTCTGAAGACACACATGCAGTCAAATATGTAAAGGGGTAGTGAATGTGGAGACAGAACATAATATTCTCTGCCCACTACAGATATAATAAAATGTAATGGTCTTAAATTACAAAAAATGATTTAAATTAGAGATTAGAAATACTCTTCTATTGGTAAAGACATGAAAATATGTTGCTAAATTTGCATGTTCCCAACACTACATTAATAGTCAAGTAAAAATGTCAACCAAACAATGCTTCCTTAACCTACCTTAGAAATGTCACGTACGTTGCATCTAAGGTCTAAGACTGGATTGTTAGCTAGATTTTGGTTATAATTTACAAATCAGAGACTCACTACCTTACCCAACATACTCTAAATCATAGAATAATAGAAAGGTTTAAGTTGGAAGGGGCCTTATCATCTATTTCCAAGCCCCTGCCATTTTGTGTTCCAATTTTATTTTGCAGAGGATTTTTTTATTAAAAAGTAAGTTGTAAGGAAGCTGAGTTCCATATTCTGCAAAAAAACAGAGGCAGAATTAAGCTAGATCACTTACTGTAGGCTTGAAAACATTTTGCATAGCCATTGAGAGTTCTTCACGAGTCCAACACTGATTTCGGCATGAAATCTTTTCATAATGCTAGTCACAGAACCACAGACTGTTTTGGGTTGGAAGGTACCTTAAAGCTCATCCAGTTCCAAGCCCCTGCCATGGGCAGGGACACCTTCTACTAGACCAGGTTGCTCCAAGCTCTGTCCAACCTGGCCTTGAACAGCGCCAGGGATGAGGCAGCCACAGCTTCTCTGAGCAACCTGTGCCAGTGTCCCACCACCCTCACAGGGAAGAACTTCTGCCTATTCTGTAATACCAGCACACTTTGGAACTGAAAGGCAAAACCTTCAGTTAATCCAACTCTACCAATATAAACACGTTCTTGAATTTAGTATTGGAGGGAGCATCTTCCTGGACATGAGTTCTGGAGCCTACAGCACCAAGTAAGGAAGGGAGTGGGATGACAACTGGCAGGAGAAAGGTTTGCTACTGGCCTCGATTTCTACATTTGTGGAAATCTGACCCCCACTTTCACCACTTTATCACCTGAGAAGTAAGGAGGTATCTTAGAAAACTGTAAGTATGCAGAGCGTGGCCCTGGGTGCTGTCACTTAACCGAATTATGCAGATTTGGTGCCCCCTGCTGTTTTTCCTTCTGCTGCCAGAG